AATGCTGGCTATCCAACAGGACTATTGTGAAATATCACACAGAAAGGCAAGTGTGGGTCTGGCACATAATAGATGATTAACAAATGTTACTTTCTTCCCACCCTTGTCCCCCACCCCAAGCCAAAACCCAACCCCAAGCCTCTGGCTACCTCTATGCAGACACCCTAGGGGAAGCCATGCTGGCTAGGCTGGGGGTAATCCCCACCCTACTTTGCAGAGCCTCTTGGGACCTTGGTTGGGTTGTTCTCCTTAAGAGTAGGTGAGCACTGCATGGAAGCATTAACTAAAGGTCATGTGATTGTTGGCCACTGTTTGGAGCTGTCTTTCATTCATTCATTTATTCATTTGACAAATATTTATTGAGTGACTACCTACTACTTGTTAGGGAACATGACAAAGTACTTGCCTTCAAGGAAATTACATCCCAAAGGGGTGATGGAGGTGGTAGGTAAGGTAGAAGAACAGACAATAAACAAGTAAGTCTAAAATATAAGGAAGGCTATGGAAAAAACTAAAGCAGGGGAAGTTTCTCTCTGCACCTCCCAACAGTGACTATAATTTCATCCATTATAATAATTATAATACTTAATGTTGTTTATTTAAGCATTGGGTACATGACAAGTGATTCCTAGTTCTCTCTACAGGGTGGCTGATATTAACAGATATGGAAATAGAGGCTCAGAGAGGTTCAGTGACTTGCTCTGTGTTCAAATTGGAATTTAGGTCTGCTATTCATTTATCCCTCACACATTATGGTGGGAGTTGTAAACAGTGGAGCAAGATCCACATGGTTTTTGTCCCCTTGTAAATCCATTTGGATGGGCAGACAGGTCTTGGACCAGCCCCATACACCATGAGATTATCTTGTTCTTGAAGGTATCATGGAACATGATATGTCAAAATGGGACACAGTGGTAATAATAACAATGGCTGGTGTTTACTGAACATTTACTGTATGTTCAGTGCTATGCTCAGCACTTTTTCCTTATTCTGTTAAGATGCTGTTATTCCCATTTTACAGAGTAAACAGGGGCTTAAAGAGGTTAACAGGCCTAACATTAGTTACATAGTCAGCCTGATGCCCAGGAGAGTTTCTTCAGTGGTCAGTGTTGGAGGAGAAGGGAGATGGGACTGGGTGGTGTCAGCCTAATGTTGGTGGGTAAGATCAATGTCAAGATATCAAGGGGTCTACAGATCCATTAACATCCGGAAGCCGGTACCTGGGTCCCTGAGAACTTCTGAAGCCAAGAATGACTGCACCTCAACATTCCTCAGACTCTAGGCTACCGCCTCCATTCCTCAGCAGGTGCTGAGGTGAGGGAGTTCGGTGGCCCTTGATGAGACTTCCCTCTGGTCTGGAGGTCTACCTTAAACTCAGGGGAGTAAAATGTGTGTGGTGCAGTTGCCCTTCACCCATTTGGAATCTGATGAGTATCTTGCATGGGTAGAGAGCTATTATTATTATGTTTAACTAGTGTCTGTCCCTCATCATTTGCAAAGTCATGGGGCTCAGAAAAACCCTAGGGACTGGTAATCACTTGGTGGTGGAGTTCCTGCACGCAAAATCACCAGGAAGGGGTTGGACTGGCAGCCCTTATGTTGTTCTTGGCCCCACCTCCCAGAAGGAGCCTGGGAGAAAGGTAAGCTTTAGATCACAGGCCAGGCCCCATCCCTCCCAATTTACTCCACTCAAGGTCTGATTAAGGGGACCCAGCCTCCTTTCTTGGAGTCATTTAATCTTTGGGGACAGTTCTTGATCTGTGTGGATTGTTCAGAGGCAGACTCTGCAGCTCAACTCTGCAGCCCACCAGGTGGGTGGCCTGAGCAAACCAGACCTTTCTCTTGGCCTCAGTTTCTCCAATTGTAAAGGAAGATAAATGAAGGCTTCTACTGCTTACCACACAGCTCTTTTATAAAGAACTGTTACTATTGCCATAGATAAAAATTGCAATAAATTCAGTAGTTGGGGCCATTTTCTCATGCCAGCTCTGTGCTAAATGCTTAACCTTTGCTATTTTTTTTCTAGCACTAAATGAGTGGGTAGTTAGCATCCTTATTTTAGTAGAGAAACTGGAGCACAGTGATGTTGGTGATCCAGCCAAGGTCACACAGCTAGGAGATAATAGAACAGGGAGTCCCCAGCACCCATCCTGCTCTCTCTATATTTTTTATCTGATATTCTTTTTCTTGATGTCGGCGAGGGTCTAATCTGACCATAGGCTATCCCCTTCAGTGTATTATTACCTGTCCATTGACATCTGGAGCAGTTAGTGCTGCTGCTCAGGACTTTATCTTTGTTCCCCTTCAAGTAATCACTGGCCTTGGACCAGTCTTCCCCCTTGGCTTGGATGTCCTAGGATCATGCAGGGGAATAAATTTAAAATATGCAGAGGTAGGAATGAGGTTGCAAATTCCAGGAGATTCTGGTTGCCTCCCCCCCCCCCCCCTTACTCTCCTACCTCCTGCTCTGGCCAAGTCAGACTTACCTGCTTGCTGCCCAGCTTTGGGAGAAGATTTATCCAATCTTCTCTCTCCCTGGAAGTCTGTCCATTAAGTGCTCTTGTCCAGTGTCCTGCCTGAGTGGAACCTGAGGTCTGATCTCCTGCCCTTGTGACCTTAAATTTCAAAGCTCCCTCTTTCCCGAAGCCCAGCAGCAGGAGATGGTCACTCCTTTGCTACCTGCTCTTCTGGTGGTCAGTTCTGCCTTCAACATATGGCCCCAACAGGCCTTCCATTGATCCCAGTGGAGCATTGCTAGTTCTTATGCACCATTTATTAATTTCACAAAACAAAAGCATTGGCAGGTGTCCAGCTTGACAAATTGTTAGACCTGTGTGCATGTCCACCCATCGATGTGGCTCTGTCCCAGGCCCCCTGTCAGGAATTTATTACACACATGTGGTGTGTAATACCAATATGAGAATATGTGAGTCAGGGACCCAGTAGATGGGTGACGGAACTGGAATTTGAGCTCCTGTTTTAACAGGGTGCTGTGGATGGGCTGGCCTGGAATGTCAGAGCAAAGTGGCTTGGGCTACAGGAGGCCACCCAGTGGTGATTGGGTGGGGACAGGGGAGTACAAGTTGTCTGTGTCTTAGCAGCCCGGGTTAGGGTGATCATGAGTGGGTGGGAAAAGGGTGTGTCTGAGTGTGGGTCCCAGTGACCTGGGACTTAAAGCAACTTGGAGGCTGCCTTTTACCACCTTCCCCACAGCTTAAGCCATTTCACCTCAATATCCTGAAGCATTTTCCCCCATTACACCATGCCTGATCAGCACTATTTCATCTCCTGCTCTGGCTTGGTGGCCTTTCCCAACAGGCTGCTCTCCCTGAAACCCACACTACCCAGGCTCAGAGTATGAACTTGCTGAATGCTCACTCAGGGTTGATGCTGCACACAGGGCTTCCCACAGAGTGCCTTGGTATATCTTCATTCTGTGCAGTAGACACTGCTTGCACGAACATATTTGAGGCCCAGAGAGGCAAAGAGTGTGGGTGGCAGCATTCTTGCACCCTGGCTACTAAGGGCCCTTCTGCCCCCGCTAAAAGCCCAGCACTGCTGGGCAGGGCCATCTTCAAATAGCTGGGAAGACCTGTGGGAAAGTGACTTCTCAGCAGCTCCTCACACCCCCTACTGAACTTTCCTGTTGACGTACCTGCTCTTTTCTACCCTGACTGTGGGCACTCCTTGCTCCTCTTCCCCAGCCTCTGCCTTCTGGGAGACCAAGGCCTGAGGATAAAGATGTCCAGGGTCCAGGTCCCAGCCTTCTCTGGAGATGCTCACAGTCTGGCGAAGAGGCGTGGGTGAGCCTGCGACTGTCAAGTGACACACAGCAGTAGTAACAGGGGCTCACAGAGAATAAGGGTGTGTCAGGCACCTGCCAGCAGCCAGATGCAGAGCTGAGAGTGTTAAGAATTTTTTTAGCTTCTAGTTCTTATTTTTGACATCTGGAGCAGTTAGCACTGCTGCTGAGGGGCTTTATCTTTGTTCACCTTCAAGTAATCACAGGCCTCAGACCAGTCTTCCCCCTTGGCTTGGATGTCCTAGGAACATGCAGGGGAATAAATTTAAAACTTGCAGAGGTAGGAATGAGGTTGCAAATCCCAGGAGACAACATTAACAAGAAAACATTCAATCAAATTTTAAAAGTTAGGGGGGATTAATTTAAAATAAAACAATCAACTTAAAATATCAGCCCTTTCATTTAGAGCCAAAGAGGCCAATAGTTTTCATTTAAACAGATTTACAAAATTTATATTTTAACCTATATTTGATGGCACAGAAATATAAAAAGCATATAGCTTCCATTGAGACTTTTCCTTCCCTTCAGAGTATAATTTCATACAATTGCTCCTTTGTTCAGTTCTCAAACTTTAAAAAAAATAATCACCAGTTCTATTTTAAAATATATCTACAACTCCACTGATAACAAGAACACTCTTAAAACAATTCTTATAGGACAAACTCTTATTGTTCTCTGTCTTTGCCATGAAAAAGTATTGTTGCAGAGTTTTCATTTTACCTCTGAGCATGTGGGACTCAAGAAGGGCTCAGTACTGGCTGAAAGTCACAGGACCAGAAATGGACGCTCCTGAGATGTGAGCCCAGCCTCCCACTCGGGAGTCTATGAGCAATGCAGGTGTTGAAGAAATGCTGCTTTGAAGGTTGTTGCCAGATGCTGTTCATGTGCACAATTTACACCCTAATTTGAGGGTTGTGGAGAGTGGGTGGTCATCCACAGAGGGATCCCACATGTCTCTCTCCTTCACTACCCAGTCAGCTACCCAAGGGCAGGCTGTGATTGGGGCTTGAGTGGGACTGTGCATGACTGGTGCTCAGCCTTGGTCATCCTAGCATGGACCTTTTGGAGGTAAGGAATGGGTGCTTAGTGGATCTTTGTGGAGCCTTACAGTGGTGAGTTCAGTCCCCTTCTTATCCAGGCCAGTCTCCTCCCTGGATATCCTGGTGCTGATCCCAGGCTTTCCACCCTCTCCTCACAGGGAGCCGGGAGGCCGCCTTCACCTACGCCATCATTGCTGCTGGCGTGGCCCATGCCATCACAGCCGCCTGCACCCAGGGCAATCTAAGTGACTGTGGCTGCGACAAAGAGAAGCAAGGCCAGTACCATCGGGATGAGGGCTGGAAGTGGGGTGGCTGCTCGGCCGATATCCGCTATGGCATCAGCTTCGCCAAGGTCTTCGTGGATGCCCGGGAGATCAAGCAGAACGCCAGGACGCTCATGAACCTGCACAACAATGAGGCGGGCCGGAAGGTAGGGCAGACCCAGACCTGGAACAGTCCTCGGAGCTCCCAGAACAGCTACAGAGCTCCACCTCTAACTGGCTCTGTGGCTCAGGGTGTGGCATGAAGCTTGTCAGTTACTAGAAAGATTGAATAACTGAATCTTGGTGAAAATTTGATGTAACAGTGAAATGGAAAGGGGGAGGCTTGTGAACTCTTATCCCTGGGTCCACAAAATCAGCTATACAAACTCTGATTGGGGGAGAGGTTGAGATGGGTCAAGCAGAAGTCATCTCTAAACAGCAGGGCCGCTAGCATGTCATTGATCACTGCAGCTGGAATCTGGCTCTCAAAATAAAGGCACCATTTTGAGTGCCTCCTCAGATGCTCCTGGATTCTGAGCTCAACTTGGAAGAGAGCTAGGAATGTTCCAGGATATTTTTAGTGCAGGTGGCTGGGACAGAAAGGGACTGGACACCTATCCTATGAAAAGCTGGCTGTCCTAAGGCAAGGTAGCAGAGCGGTCTAGAGTGCAGAGTGTGGGCCCAGGGGTGAAGAGATTATGGAGAAGTAGGTTCTGTTGTGAGGGGCCAAGCCACAGCCATGAGATATGGAGTGAGCTACCAAGAAAGGAGTGATCTCTTTATCCCAGGAAGTATTTGGGCAGAGGCTGTTCAAGGTACCCAAGTCAGTGCTGCAGCCTATGGTTGGGATTGTGTTCTTAAGTGCCTTTAAAGGCTGAGGTGCTAAGAATCCTTCCTGGAACCCCCAGGCCCAGGAGATGCTGGGAGAGAAAAAGCTCAGATGTTGGGTGGAGCTCTGTGGTGAAGTGTCTGTGAGCCAGGGCAGATGGAGAGGGGGGCTTAGAGCTATCTGGTTGGGGACAGACCACTGCAGTGACTGGACTTGTGCTGTCACTACCTGGGACCACAAATGCTGGTACCCAGGGTGGCTGGGCAGGAGCAAGAGTGACAAGGACCTAGCAAACCATACACAAGGCTATAGTGGACTCAGGAATGCAAACCCCATTCACAGGCCAACACTGTGGCTGTGTAGGAAGATCAGCCCACTGTGGCCAGAGCCAGAGTTTAGACTCAGATTTTTATTTACCATCACTTAATTTTTAAGTGTTGGCATTTCAAACTGATTGACAGCAGTAGAAAAGGTAAAAAAGAAAGAGGATTACCAGATGCTCAAGTATATAAATCTACTGGCTAAGTGTGGGCTATGAACGCCCCATTTGGGTGACAGATGTATTAAGTGGTACATACCTTGTTCTGCTGGAGCACGTCTGTGGGCCAGGAAGTGTTCTAGCTCTGGATGTATCAGCTCACCTAATTCTCAAAGCATCTCTAAGAACAGTAGCATCATTATCCCAATTTTACAGGTGAAGAAATTGAGGTTCATAGTGGGTAAGTAATGGGCTGAGGGTCCCATAGTTAATAAGCAGTGTCAGAATTCTGTCACTTAAGCTGGCATTCTTTTTAAAATATATATATATATTTATTAATTTCACAGAGGAAGGGAGAAGGATAGAGAGATAGAAACATCAATAATAAGAGAGAATCACTGATCGGCTGCCTCTTGCTCACCCCACACAGGGCATTGAGCCTGCAACACAGGCTTGTGCCCTTTACTGGACTTAAAACTGGGACCCTTTAGTGCACAGGCCAATGCTCTGTCCACTGAGATAAACTAGCTAGAGTTCAAGCTAACATTCTTTACACAGCATAACTGCTGTGGCATGGTGGTCAGAGGCTGCTTGTAGGCTGGCAATGGGCTGCCTGGTTTAGATCCTAGCTTTGTTACTTTTTCCCAGGAAGGAAGTAAAGCTGGCAGGAGTGTTCTCAGGGCTGAGGTGAGGAGGGAAGGAGACAAGGCAAGAGACCACTTACCCCAGGGCCTGGTACAGAGTTTTTCCTCACCAGAGGGTGGCTGTGATTACAAGTTGTGCAAATGTGTAACGCAGGAGGGAGTCCGTCTGGCAAATGTTGGGAGGGGGAGGGAAAGGGTGGGTAGCCTGCACACCTTAGAAAGGAGCAGGGCTCCCCTCTTGCAGATGAATGGGAAGGGACAAGCTGGCCCTTCCTCCAGCCTTCAGGTACCCCTCCCTCCTTCCTCTTCTCTAGCCTCTGGCCACATCCTGTGTGTAAGAGCCTCCCAGGAGTCTGGGTGAGTCACACCTGCAGAGCACTCACCTGATACAATGCTATCCTGGGTTAATTGCAAGGCCCTGTCTGGCTCCACGCAGCTCCTGTGGCTGGCAGCTCCTGTGCGGCCAGCACATCTCTCCAGGCTTTTTGGCTATTCATTTCTCCTGATTTCTGTGGTCAGATCACTCCTTAGGGCACAGGGCACAGGGTGCAGGCTTCCTCTTGCCCTTGGGTCAGAAAAAGGGAGTGCTTCAAGAGTCTTCCCACTTCCAGCCTCTGTTTTCTTATCCGTAACTACCTGGATGGGCCATTGTGAGAATTAAAGAAGAGAATACTTAGCTTGGGATAAGAAAGGTTCAGTATATCCAGTGGGAAAGGCTTTCCCAAGCCACGGAGCTCCACAGCGTGAGAGCCACGGCTGCTGTTTCAGGCAGCTCTTGGGTGGTACAGATGCTGGAAGCTATCAGACATTATAAGATCAACCTCAGTAGCTTCCTGGAGGAGATGAGTAAGGTTTGGCTTGGCAGGGAAAAGAGGAGAAGGCAACACAGGTGTGGTGTGAGGAGGCAGTAGTCAAAGGTCCAGAGGTGAAAGCTTGGGACAAGTTCAGGGACCCAGACTGGCTGGTCTATGAGTCACAGCAGCTGGAGAGCCTGCATGTTCACCTGCCAGGCCTTGGAGTGAGAGCCTTGATTTATTCCCCCAGATCTGTCAGGTTTCAGCTCAGATATCCTCCCTCAGATAAGCGTCCTTTTCAATCCTTCCTACCCTTTTCTTAAATGTCATCTTGTTCTTTTCTCTTCCACCTTCCTCCATACCGGATCATGAGCTTGAAGTGTCTCATTCATAGCTTACCCACAATGCTGGCATACACAGCCACTCTCTGTATAGAGTGAAGAGTTGAGTACCTATGCTCACTGGTGAACCATTGATGGTTCTGGAGTAGGGAAGGGGCAGAAGTCATATACACTGACTCTAGGAAGGCAGAGGAGGCCCTGGGTGGGATCAAGAATGGAGTGTAGAGTGAGTGCAAACTGGGCTCTCCCAGAATGATGAAGAAATAAGACATTTTGGCGGGGGGTGGGGGGGGTAGGTGAGGGGATGGGAGTGCTAGCAGCCTGACTCTGTATCCCTATACATTCCTGTTAGCCTATAGTCTAGTCACTGCCCTTTCCTTAATTACCTGGTCTTGCAAGATCTGTTTACCTAAATACTCACATTTTAAAGAGGCCATAAACCATGGACAATACACAACCCCTGGAGGGGGTTATCAGCACTGGCGCCAGGCCTTTAGGTGTGTTCTCATGGTCCCCATCCCAACACACAGGGTTTTTTGCAAAGCCTGCGAAAGTTCCAGAAGTATGATCCATATTTGGGGGACAAGGAACCCAAAGGTTATAAAGAGAAAGCTTTCTCCATATTGGTTTGCTCAGGATTTGGAAACAGGCTCCCTTGAGTTACAGTATTAGTGCATCTGGAAATAAATGTTTTTTTCCTGTATCCCTGAGTATTTTTCGGTCACCTGGTAAATTCTGTAATAAGCTCAGGGAAACCAGCAGAAGGGCTCTTTCCATGTTGGCCCAGCTCCGTTCTGGCTTGTGAGGACGCTTGTGGGTAGCTCCCTGGGATAGCAGGCAGTCTGTATTTTCCAGAGCCAAGATGTGGGATTTGGGACTCCCCAGTGTACATAAGGAAAGGCCTGACCATCCACAGGTCTGGCCCTTTGTGGTGTGGGGGTGCAAACCCAGGGCAGTGGCCACACTGCTCAGCTAGATCCCCGCAGGATGGTGGTCTCTCAGCCCAGCCCTCTCTGCTACAGGGCACCTGAGTACTCACACACATATCCAAGTGGTCAGGAGCAAGGACAACCACCTAGCCTAAGGCTTGGTGTATATCAGTACCGAGTCCCGTCAGTACCTGGGGAGACAGTTTTCCCATTTGTCAAATGGGACTATGACATTGATTTATTCCGTATCCTAGATGCTGGCCAGGGACAGGTGAGGCATACAGGTGCCCCAAGATTCTGTGTGCCATTTATTAGAAGGCATGGGGCCCCACTCCAGAACCTCCCCCACAGCAGGCTTCTGTGGGTCACACACACACAGGAGAAAAGAGGCCAGCCTGCAGCCACTCCTGGCTGAGCATCTTGGAAAGGCTCACAGTGTTTGTCACTGACTCCCTCGCTCTTGCTGTGAGTAGACAAGACTCAACCTGACTACAGACTCTGGGTCTTGTTGGCAGTTGTTTGAGAAAAGGAGAAGGCAGGGGGAGTTAGGGAGGGGTTGCTTGTACTGAGGGGCAGAGGTGGAGGCAGATCCAATGAGGGGAAACCAGGGGCAGCCCACTGACTCACCTGGCAGATAGGGAGAATAAACGCTGTGGGAGCATCCTTCCCTCACAGGTCTCCACTCCTCTAGGAAGAACCAGGTGCTGGTCTGTGGATGGGTCACAGGGCTGGGCAATGGGGATTTCTGTGGGACAGCCAGCCTTTCCATTTCCTCATTGTCTCATGCAATTGTGTGGTCTGCAGGGTGGAACCAGAATGACTAGGTGAGAAGATAGAAATTATAGTGTTTCCCTATTGGAATTTTAGGGCCTAATATTTTTGAATTGAAATCACAGACTGTTCAGATTGAGAATGTACAATATTAGGTTCACATTCTCGTGTGTGGGGTTTGGAATCATAGGATGTTTGGTTGGGAGGGAGAGAGACATAAGGGAGCATTGGGTTGAAATGTTCAGATGGTAAAATCTTTGTGGCCTTCAATGATTTCTTTCCAGTCTTTTGGGAAGTAGGGATATAAGCAAACCATGATTCTTTCCTTCAAGTTAATCTGTCCAGTGAAAGAGGCAGGTAAGAGGAGCAAGAATTATGATT